GGGGGGGGTCCCAAGGGTAAAACGTTTGAGTACCACTGGATTGATTAATAAACTGATGCATGCTTTTCTTGTCCATTGCTTTTAACTTCAGCAGATGCCCAACCTGGCTTCACCAGAAAGAAGCAAGTGACAGGTGGGAAAGGAATATGGACCTATGAAGTTACTTGGTACTGATTCATACCATCCAGGCCCACCTAGTTCAGTAATCCCTACTCTGGCAGCGAGATCCTTTTAGTTGGAGATGGCAGAACTTGAACTAGGGACTTTCTGCATGCAAAGCATGTGCTTTATCACACAGGCTGCCAAAATGCAGCTGCAGTTCATCATCACTTGTTGTGGCCCATACCGAAAGAACATTTACGAGGCCATTAAAATTTTGGTCTCCTTTTTCAATTCAAAAGAGGGAGAGGAAAGAAACAAAGACAAGGGGAAATCCAAAATGTCTACCACTTCCATCACAATCTGGGGCTGCGAGGGATTCTGTAATCCAATTTCCCTTGGTCTTGCATAGGACTAGTTTTAGCTCTGTGTCTTTCCATCAGAGATGGTTTGTCTTGTGTCCTACTGAATCTTAAAATTAAGCATCAGCTACAAAAGATCTTTCTTGCCTGCACAGCAACTGCTTCAACCAAGACTACATCTGAACTGCAGAAATAATGCCATTTGGCACAGCTTTAACTGACATGGCTCAATGCTATGGACTTCTAGGATTTGTCATTCTGTGAGCTATTTAACCTTCGCTGTCTGAGGGATCTGGTGTCACAGCAAACTAGAAATCCCACAGTTCCTCAGCCCTGAGCCATGGCAGTTAAAGTAGTGTCAAACAGCACAATTTCTGCAGATGCATCCCTGAGCCATGAAGGAAAATTGCAGTGGCCCAGAATCATTTCAGCCTCAGAAGAACAGCCAAAAGACCTCCCCTACATTGTTTGCTTAACAGTGAAACATCAACTATCAAATAAATACTGAAAGTAGGACACATAGGCACTCAGCACTACCCCAGAAAGACATGATTATCACACAATGCATTTATGGGAAGACAGACATGATCCGATAGGTATTTTGCGTGCCACATTGGTTGTGACAAACATGCCTTTTAATTCTGTCGGACAGAGAAGTCACCAAACTTCAGCTGGGGCTGAGGAAGGGCTGTATAGTCCAAGGAATTTTGGATGACCCTTGGTTTCTCACCACTGCTCCAAACTTCTTTATAGACATGGCTAACTAATTTTGGGATCAGTTTCCTTACAGCTTTTTGATTCCCTTCACAAAGCAGGCTCTTTGTTAGCTTTGAATTACTAGGCAAAAGAAGAGATCATGACTGGGAGAGACATACATACCTGCAGGATGGCATCGGGACCCCAGGCTCTGGGGTCCCCAGGAAGAAAAAGTGAAAAGGCTAGATCCCACAGCATGCAGTCCTTCCTTTGGGGGGAAAAAGAGAAACCAAACCAAGTGCAATATGAGCAATGTCCAGGCAACCAAAGGATGATCCAAAGATACCGCAAACATCCAGCACTCTGCAGTCATGTTTGTACAAATATTTTAAAACATTATGTCCTTATCCTTAAAATATGCACTAAATTATCATTACATTTCAGTCCAGCTGATTATTTGTTAGCTACTTTGGACTATGCTAAAAAATCATTTTAAATAAATAGATGTTGGGCATTATGTCCACGCAGGGTTTGAATTGTGTGTGTGTGTTTCAAGATAGGTCCAAGACACACTGCAGAAATAATCCAACTTCAGACCACTTTAACTGCCCTGGCTCAGTGGAATCCTGGGAATTGTAGTTTATCATGGCACCAGAGCTCTCTAACAGAGAAGGCTAAATGTCTCACAAAAGTATCATTCCCAGAATTCCCTAGCACTGAGCCAGGGCAGTTAAAGCAGTCTCAAACTGGATTATTTCTGCAGTGTCTTTTGGACTTTAAATATAAATCTTGTGTTCTTATACTCTTGGACATATTAACTCCATTACTGTAGTGACGACAATGCTGTGTTTGTGTTTCCCTTAGGACTATTTATAGTTCAATACATTATAATATTTTCCCAGAATTTCAAAACTTCTAGAGTTGGCTGTATCTTTCCACATTCAAGATGAAAGTGAAGCTATTTAATCTGCAAATTATTCTCACATTCCAGATCTTCCATTTAAAAAAATTGAAAATTTCTTACCCATTCTTACCATTTAAGTAACTACTAACAAATTACCCTGTGTTAGTGTTGCCTTTTTACAGTTTCTTTGTTTCTTAAAGTACCTTTAAAGTAGTGTAAAAGTGCATCTCCTGTGATGGATCTAATAATCCCATAATTGACAGAGCAATCCTCTACATATTTACTCAGAAGTTAAGTCCACTGTATTCAGTGGATCTTACTTCCAGGAATGTAGGTGTAGAAATTGAGCCATCAAATATCTTTCCTTGCATAGTGCAGCATTGCCACCAGATATATAAAACTAAAAAGCTGACACCTATGTTTTTGCACAAGCAACAGCTGGCTAAGGACAACTTGCCTATACTCTTAATTCTTGTGTGTGTCATTAATAGCAGGATCAAAACCAAGAGGCCTAATGCAAGCAAGCAAACTTTTCATCTGGTGCAGGCATATTAAATTCAAACAGTTGTGGCCCAGAATGGAAGTGTACCTGTTCGGGCTAGAAGGCTCTTCCTTGGTGGCCAGAAGGAGCCTTAGGAGGAAATCCGGCTCAGATGGCTGGTCTTGGTACAAAAGGCTCCATTCTTTTTCCCTGGCAAATGTCTCTCTGAGCTGCAGTTAGTTAATAAACACACAGGAGTTGTGTTGGGAGGGGAAAGGCTAAACCTGAAAGGAGCACCAGGTAAGCAACAGAGGAGGGACTAGCATCTCTCCCCGCCCCATCCACCTTCAACAGGGCTGGATCTAGGCTCACCTTGCCAATGAAATACGCCCAGAGAAAAAGGGAATTGACATTCAACCTTGACTGCAATTGCTTCTCCTCCTTTCATTCAATTGGCATGGCTGTTTCTTCAGTGCCCACCTTTGCAACCCAGAAGTCCTGAAAGTTGCCACATCTTCAGACTCACACATCTTACTGTGTGCTCAGACGATGCCCATCTTTGCAGCCAAGAAAGCTGCCACACCTTCGCCCTCACATATCTTACTGTGTTCAGACAATGCCCATCTTTGCAGCCCCAAAGTCCTCAAAGCTTCCATATCTTTACCCCCACATCTTACTTCGATGCAAGGCTCATCACAGGTGACCAATTGGTGAACAATTGTAGGCCTACATTTATACATGCTTTGTATAAATATGGTCTCTCTTATTGGCCAAAATCCATATTTTCTCTAGAAATATGAATATGCACATGAAGGTCCAGGACCATCTTAGAGAGAGCTACATGTTTGTTTTCTGCATGAGATGATTATATTAATGCACTTCTTGTTGTGAGCCTCCAAGTCACTTAATTGTATTTCTTATGGCGAACCCAAGCGGAATCTACCATAGAGTTTTCTTGGCACTTTTTTTCAGAAGGCGTTTGCCATTGCAGTCTTCTGAGGCTGAGAGAGCATGACTTGGCTAAGGTCACCCAGGGGTTTTTTTTTAATGCTTGAGCTGGGAATCGAACCCTGATCTCCAGAGTCATAGTCCAACACTCAAACCACTATACTAAGTTGGCTCTCACAATGCACATAACGCTATGGTTTTTATCATTCCTAGATAAGCCACGCAGGGGTAGGCAACCTTTCCCCTTTAAAGGCCGAGGGACTTCAGCTCCCAGAAGCCTCAGCCATGTTAGCCAATAGTCCCATGTTGGCCAATAGCTCCTGGGATTCTGGGAGCTGAAGTCCCTCGGCCCTTAAAGGGGAAAGGTTGCCTACCTCTGAAGGTTATTCTTCACTTTATTCTCACTCAAAAGGTGAGGATTCTTGACACTCTCTCCCCTCTTTCAGCCCAAAAATATTTATATAGAATATTTTCCCTGAGTAACTGGTTTTCTATGTTTAGGAAATATTTTAAAAATCTGGGTAAATATTTAGCAGAGCCAGCATGGTGGAGTGGTTTGAGCATTGAACTATGACTCTGGAAACCAGGGTTTGAATCCCTTCTCCAGCCATGTAAACCCATTGGGTGACTTTGGGCAAGTCACACTCTCTCAGCCTCAGATAAAGGCAAAGCACTTCTTACCAAATATCATCAAGAAAACTCCATGATTATGATTATGGCTTTAGGACTGCCATAAGAATAACTTGAAGATACACAACAGTAACAATATAATTAACAATCATAGGTTTTTGTGGGTTTTTCAGGCTGTGAGGCCGTATTCTAGAAGAATGTATGATGTTTCACCTGCATCTGTGGCTGGCAGGTGAAACGTCATACATTCTTCTAGAACATGGCCTCACAGCCCAAAAAAACCACAAAAACCTATGGATGCCAGCCGTGAAAACCTTCAACTTCACAATAAGAATCATTTCTAGTGATGTGAGCCCATGTGCAGAATGAAGTGGTGCAACTCAGAATAAAATAGCACATGACACGGGAAACAAGATATCCCATCGCCCAGCTCATTTGGGCTGGATAGATGAAAAATAAGTACTTTTTCACATCACACATTGTTAAACCGTGGAATTCATTGTCACTAGACTTACTCCTGGTGGGCACCTTGGCTTTAAAAGTGTAGATGAATTCACAATGGTTCCTAGTCATGATTGCCATACATCACCTCCGGTCCCAGAGGAGGTAGATTAGTTGTTGCTGGGCTGTGTAAGCAGATGGGAGCTTTTGCTGACTTGCTCTTCTTGTGGCCATTTCACAGCATCTATTTGGCTTCTGTGAGAACAGAACACTGAACTTGTCTAGTCTAAGCCTTTGTTCTAATCCAGCACAACTGTTCTTTTGTTGTGTGCCCTTAAGTCATTTCTGATTTACAGTGACTCTAAGGCCATAATAATAATTATGGGGTTTTCTCGGCATAATTTGTTCAGAGAGGTTTCATAGAATAATAGAGATGGAAGAGACCCAAAGGGCCATCCAGTCTAACCCCATGCCATGCAAGAAGACACAATCAAAGCACTCCCTTTGACAAATGGCCATCCAGCCTCTGTTTAAAAACCTCCAAAGAAGGAGACTCCACCACTCTCCGAGGGAGTGTCTTCCACTGTCGAACAGCTTTCACTGTCAGGGAGGCCTCCTAATGTTGAGGTGGAATCTCTTTTTCTGTAGCTTGCATCCATTGTTATGGGTCCAATTCTCTGGAGCAGCAGAAAACAAGCTTGCTCCATCCTCAACATGACATCCCTTCAAATACTTTAAACAGGGCTATCATATCACCTCTTAACCTTCTCTTCTCCAAACTAAACATACCCAGTTCCCCAAGTCTCTGCTCATAGGGCTTAGTGGTTTCCAGACCCTTTGCCATTTTGGTCACCCTTCTTTAGACATGCTCCAGCTTCTCAATATCCCTTTTGAATTGTGGAGCCCAGAACTGGACACAGCATTATTCCAGATGAGGCCTGACCAGAGTTTGCCTTTGCCTTCCTCTGAGGTTGAGTGTGACTTGCCCAAGGTTGCCTGGTGAGTTTCTGTGGCTGAGTGGAGATTCGAACCCTGTTCTTGAGTCATAGTCCAATGCTCAGACCATTACACCATGCTGGTTGTCTCTTTTGCCTAACATCAACCCAAAAGGCTCGTGGGGCTCCAATCTGACAGGGGTTGTGGCACTAGTAGAGACCAACCTTTCCCTGCACCAGTTTCTCAATGCAAATCTCTCTCCCTTGATGCTCTTCTTATCTGTAAAGATGGCAGGAATGGAATTCAAGACTTCTCCTCCATTTGCTGGCTAAATAATAATGAGTAGCTGGGGAAATCCAGACTGAAGGGCAAGAAGCAGAGCTGTTTTTCATGAATGAAAAATATATCAAGTCTGTGAATACTGATTTCCTGCCCCACCAGTGGTTTTGTGAACCATCTTGTGTCCCACATTGGGAGAAAGGCAGGATAATAAACAAGCAAATATTGTCCTCAGCCTTCGATACCATTAACCGCCTTGGTGTTAGAACTTGCTTAGGGTCATTTCCAAGGCAAAAATTAGTATCCTCTCAGCAAGTAACCCATAATAAAGCATGCTGATTTAGCATGTATCATTTAGATTTAAATAGCAAGGAAATAGCCACCCATGGGTTCCCTGTTTGAATAACTCTTTCAGTATTTGCAGTTTATTGTCATATAACAACCATAAGACATTTTACTGACAATCTTGCCATCTCTCATAAGGAGGACTCAGCTTCTCAGAAACTGGGCACCAAAAGGAGACAAGATACTCCTTGGAAAGATTCTTCCCACCACCCCATATCACTTTGCATCTAAAGAGAAGCTTAGAAATTTTATTATCAGTTTACATTATCAAGAATATTTGTCCTTTACATCAAAGGCCCATCTTGGAAAAATGATGCATCAATTCATTTTTCAGCCATTCTTAAGCTGCTGGAGAAATGTCATCAAACTGATAAAAAAATTAATTGATAAGTTTTATTTTGATATGTTTAGATATGTACATCAGTAAACAATTTCCATCTTATCAGATGAACACTGTATGTCTAGATAAGATGTTCCTAGACATAGCAGAAATCTTGTCCCTTGATCACTGACTCAAGTATGTAAAGAGGCAATGACACTCCCATGACCCAGCATTTGTTCCGAGATGCAATTCAGCTCACTCTGTCAAGTAAGACATGTCTCTATTACAATTTCATAAACAATTCTGTTTACTGACCAATTTTTACACATTTTTAGTGATACAAGCATTCCGAGTTTCAGGTTTCTGAAAAGATGCTAAAATCATGTACTACATGATACTGAAAGGATGCTAAGATCAAGTACTAAAGCATATTTCCCCCCCCCCCCCAACATTTCTGCAACATTTCTGACTACCAAGGATATCCAGCACCAGCAGTCCCACATCCAGGACCCCAAAAGATGATTTATATCTGTGAAGGAGAAATGGAACTTCCACTGTCTGCACTGATTTGCTCGCTCTGCAGTGCTGACTATACTGAGGTAAAATTATTTTTGAGGTATAGTTAGTGTTTCCAAGGAGGCATAGATAAATCTCTCTTCTGCATCCACTTTTATCTGATAGCATTATAACTGTTTTGACACACCTTCTATTTTCTCCCTTTCAAAAGAGATGGATGGATGGATGCCTAATTTACAGCTTTCTATTAGGGCTTCTTGGGTTACGTGCACAAAATTTAAAGTCTTCAATTTCTTGGTATGTGCTTAAATTATTTTTATACTTCTATATGTAAGTCTGGGCCCTGACACACTGACTATCCTGTCTTTTCAGAACAGAGTCTAGGAAGATTCTAGTAAAGAGCTGTGTGTGCTCACATACAGATAACAAAAATGGTGTGTACTGTGGCAACACTGGAGCAGTTCTGTCTCATGTTCATCAGCAGTGGTTTATCACCATGGGGTTGAAGATGTATAGCTCAGCAACTCAATAAGTCATTAAAATGCTGGGAAATATTTACAAAGTTTTTACTCACAAGCATAATGCAAGAAAAAAATTCACACACAACACAGAAGACTATACATGAATATTAAAAATAACATGCCACTGGAAGGAACAACTCCACCAAATCCACTTAACTAACATTGGTGCAAGGCAGTAACATAGGTCCAAAACACACCCTTAAAATAATCCAATTTGAGACTGCTTCAACTGCCCTGGCTCAAGCCTAGAGAATTTTGGGAACTGTAGTTTTGTGGGAAATTTATCCTTCTCTGTCAGAGAACGCTGGTGCCACAATAAACTACAGTTCCCCGAATTCCCTAGCACTGAGCCAGGGCAGTTAAAACGATCTCAAACTGGATTATTTCTGCAGTGTGCTTTGGACCATAGTCTTGGACCACAGTCTTGAGACAGGCAAACACAGAGGACCATTAGCTTCATGATGCTGCAACCCCTGCTGTCCCAGCCCCATGAGGAGGCAGTGTCATTGGAGGCAGGAACATGGATTTCAGCTTTCCAGACATGCTTGCAATTTCAGGGTCCTGGGTCTCATAAGATTTTATCAAGCGGGCAAATTTTAGAACTCCTAGGAAAAGAAAGAAAGGTAAACAGCATGAAAACAATCTATTCACTTTGATGTTGATACTTTACTGCTTTTCTTCCACTTCTCAGATTGTGTGATCTACAAGGAAGGTCTCCTTTAGCCACCCTGAGGAAAGAGACATCTTCCACTGACTGACTATCAGTTAGGACATCATCTGGGTTGTGTCATTATCTCACAGATACAAAAGCTATCAAACCTCTTCCCCTCCATTTCCAAATAACTTAGTACTTTGAACCTACCTTCCCCATCATTACTGAAACCATAGGCTTTGATCACATCCTGCTGGATCTGGGTAGCCACAGGCAGCAAAAACTGCAGCATCTTGCCCATGTCATTGCAGGCATTGTCCCTTGCTTCCTCCATGCGCTGGGCATTTTCTGGTGAGCCAAATGCCTTGATCACTTCAGCCAGAACCACTAAGGAAGACAGTAGAAAAATCATGAATCTATTTGCACAGACATTCCCAAACCTGTCAGCATGAACAGATTAGAAGGAGTTGCTAACACTAGGAAGACATATGGGAGGCATGATGGTCAGATCTCATAAATGTCAGGGGAAG